AATTTCGAGTAATTTTTCCAATATTTAAAAAAAGTTATTATGCAAATGAGTCGATATATATGAACGTACGGTCCGGTATGAGCGTACTGTTTTTAAACATGGGAACGACTTTGTCGCTTCTCAGTTTTACAGGAAAGATGTCAGTTCTGAAAGCTAAGTTGATTATGGATGACTGCGAATGACATCGTGTACTTCGTGAGATGTGGCACGAATTCAGAAGAAAGGTTGTGGCAGGCGGGGAAGGGGGAAGATCACAGTTGGCGCTGGGGATGACGTCAGGGTTAAAATGTAGTGACTGAAGGCCTCAGCAATTTCTCGCAGGGTATCACATGTCACGTTTTGATACTGAATTGTAGTGATTCTAAAGTGTATTTCATTCCTGTTCAGGAATGAGTTGGCAATTTCTCATTCTTTTCCTAACATTATAACCAGCATAAATATTTTTTCGTTCATAATAGACCTTTTTTTGCATTTTTCGGTTGCCACGTCCGGGCGTTGCAGATTTTTTAGCATCGATAAGGTCAATGATGCAGCTATACAGGTCACTGTTTCTGGGATTTTTGCGCTTCAGCTTGCCGTTACTGGCAAGTACGTGCAAGACGAACATCCGCACTCTCGAAAGTCTGCAAGGACAAGCACTACGCGTGTGCTTAGGATTGCCGCGATGTACCTCAACCTACGGGGCAATTATGATCGCAAGAGAGCATCCAATTCGAACATACATCACCACTGACAATTTGAGAGCCCACATAAGACACCTCTGCCGAGTTCCTGGTCACTATTTTGCAGTGTTGCCACTTCAAAGACCACACGCGATGTTTTCAAAGATTATTTCTGCCCATAGAGAATGCCTTCCTTTTGGCTTCACTCCGGCAACAAGACCAGCGTCACCCCCGTGGTGCCTACAACAACCACAGGTGTGCCTCACTATTCCGGGAATAACGAACAAAAGCCATCATTCAACAGTGGTCCTACGACAGGTGACATTGTCGCTACTCAACAAAAAATACGGCCAGAGGACCCACATTTACACCGATGGATCGGTCTCGGCTGACAGCTCCACAGGTGCTGTTGTCATCCCGGCGTACCAGGTCACTATAAAGCTCAAACTGTCACATAGGACAACATCCACAGCAGCGGAGCTTGCCGCCTTACGTGCTGCTATACTTTATATCACGGAAGCCCGACCTCAAAAATGGGCTGTGTTCTGCGACTCCAAGGCATCCCTTCAGAGCTTGCAATCAGCTTTACGACAGAGGGAGCATCAACAACTAGTGAATGAAATAAGAGAAGTGATTCACGAAGTTTTATCGAAAGGACATGACTTGGTGTTCCAGTGGTTACCGGGACATTGTGGTATTTTCGGTAATGACCTTGCTGATAATGCTGCCCGATCCGCCCACGCGGACGCCCAGACAACCCCAATTCCATTGTCGAGAACCGACGCTGCAAGGGGCCTTCACTCGTTCGCTAACATCATGACGGAAACTTGGCTGAGTGACCCCAGTGTCAGGAACCACCGCCTACACAAATTGGACCCATCGAGAAAGCTTAAAGTTCTATCGGACCTCTCCCGCCAGGATGCAACTTTACTGTGCCGCCTGTGGTTAGGAGTAGCTTTTACAAAGGCGTACTCCTTTCGCATAGGAATGGCGGATAGCTCCCGATGTGAATCGTGCGACACTGACGAGACAATAGAACATCTACTGTGTTCATGTGAACGTTTTGCAAGCGAACGCAACTTGCTACGCGAAACGTTAGAGACACTAGACAGTAGACCTTTTTCCGAAGACAAGATACTTGGCTCATGGCTCTACGCGTCGCTGGCCAGCAAAGCGACGTGGGCATTGCTAAGTTTTCTAAAGACGACCGGACTACGCGACCGCTTACAAGCGTGCAATGGACAAGGTCACATCTACACACACGTTCCCCTTCACTTCTCTCTCTCTCTTCCCCTCCAATCCCCTCACCCCTTCCCCCAGTGCAGGGTAGCAAACCGGACGTGCGTCTGGTTGACCTCCCTGCCTTTCATTTCTTCCCTTCCTCCTCCTCCTCCTTGTAACACGCCAGTAATCTTAAATTAAAAGACTTCCGTTGATTGATTGATATATGGGGTTTAACGTCCCAAAACCACCATACGATTCTGAGAGACGCCGTAGTGGAGGGCTCCGGAAATTTCGACCACCTGTGGTTCTTTAACGTGCACGAAAATCTGAGCACACGGGCCTACAGCATTTCCGCCTTCATCGAAAATGCAGCCGCTGCAGCAGGGATTCGATCCCGCGACCTGCGGGTCAGCAGCCGAGTACCTTAGCCACTAGACCACCGCGGCGGGGCAAAATAAGACTCCCGTGTGTTTTTCTATAAAACCTCTTTGGCTCTCTGCTATTTGAATAATTTTTAAATAATAAAAGTGTTTTCAGGCCTGGCACGTACTTTTTTACGTCATTCCTCAGCAATTATATCATATACTAGCATGACGGTGTTACGTGTCTCTACTTATCTATGCACCTGAAAACGGGCACAAATGTGTCACACGGCTTCATGTCCAACCCGATAACGAACGGTGAAAAATGACGCCTGAGTTTCTTAGTTCTTTTTTTTCCCTTTTTTTTGGTTTTCTTTTTGGTTTTCGGTATGCAGGTTATTTCCTGTTTTGCAGCGCTCTCCGATGCGTTGTGACGAACACACCTTCCGCTGCCCAGCAAAGAACCGGGAGCTAACCTAATTAGTGTGCCTATTCACGACACTTTGGCTCGTTGTTTGGTACTCTGATTACTCCTATAAATTTGCTAAAAAAATGTAGAAAGAAGGAAAGACAAAAGGTAGAACAATTTACCGTAAATAAAACTTGCCAGATTTTCTGCACTGTCCAATGTGTACGTGTGTAGGGTGAGTCTGTTTGCACCTCTACAGCTCGGGGTTACGTGACAACATTGAAAATATCTCGTATGACGTCAATGGTAGAGAGCGGCACAGCATTGTAGACCCTGGCTCGGACAGGCCCCACCGCGAAGGTTTAGTGGCTAAGGTACTCGGCTGCTAACCCACAGGTCACGGGATCGAATCCCGGTGGCTGCATTTTCGATGGAGGCGAAAATGCTGTAGGCCTGTGTGCTCAGATTTGGGTGCAGGTTAAAGAACCCTAGGTGGTCGAAATTTCCGGGGCCCTCCTCTGCGGCGTCTCTCATAATCATATGGTGGTTTTGGGACGTTAAACCCCACATATCAAATCATCATCTGGCTCGGGTAGCAGTGACAGCACGGCGTGAGTTACTGCCTCCTCCCCCCTTTGATCCGTGACACATGTGAACCAGTAACACGGGCTGAATAGCGATACATATGCAACGACTGCCGAAATCTTGCCTTACGTTTAAACCGTAAAACCGGTGATGTGACGTCATACGTGACGTCTCCGTTCGGATCACTTGACAGCAAGCTGTTGGTGTGCTAGTATACTCTTCCGTGTTTGTTAAGGCGGGAGTGGGGGGCAGGCATAAATGTCCGGACGGCGATAAGGGCGAATGTTACTTCAAAGAGAAACAAGAAAAGCGTTGCAGTTGGAAGTATTCAGAGCATTTCAGAAACCCAATCAGGGCTGGCGAATACAGGCCTATACTATAGCCTTCCACATGCATATCACTGAAAGCAGAATATAAATAGCCATTGATTTAATCATTTGAATAACAAATAATAAGCTCATCTTTGTTTATATCTACATATATCTTTATTGTCATCTTCCGTTTCTGTGTACTTCGGCGCAATATTATTCGCCGAAGGCTATTTTCTGTAGGACCAAGATTCTAGGGCCACATGTACTGGACGCCTTTAGCCCGGTACTTGAATAACTTGAGTAGGAATATGGCTAACTATCGCCATCATTTCTGAGAAGTCAAGAAAGCATGCATCATTCAGTGAAACGCCAGTGGACTAAAACCGCGTCTTTTTGGACTTTGTTCAGCTAGTGTGGGTCAACGTGTTCGAAGTCATCAGTATTTGTGAGCCCAACGCGTGTGCATGCTCTCTCTCTCCCCTTTTCCATCTTTCAAACTCCCTCACCCCTATCCCCAGTGTAGGGTAGCATACCGGTTGTTACAGACTGGTCAACACCGCTGCCTTTCCTTTCCCTCTTGTTCTTCTTCCTGGCACCTTTCGCATGTATCCTACGAAAACTGCGATGCTCTAAGCACAATCCAAGCTTCAAGAAGACGACCGACAAAGAGACGAGTTGTACACGCAATGACTGGACTTCACTAATGGTCCCTCGACTTAATGGCAGGTTTGTCCTTTCCTTATTAGGTACGAACTGACCCCGACTTCAATCTTATTCAAGACTGAGATTTTACACTTGACCAGTGTTGGGGGTGAAACATTTGCCGTGTTGGGTGACCATGCAGTCATAGAAAAATACCCAGCAAAATGAGTGTAAGTAGAGGTGTGAAGGCATGAGAGATTCATACAAAGTTTCTAAACCCAAGGAATGTAAAAGGGTACTTCGATCACAGAATACCTGTAATATTGACTTGATGCGAAATTTTTCATAGGGGAAGCGACGTCACTATTTCTGGGACGTTAAACCCCACATATCAACCAATGACGTCATTGTTTCAGCTGCACGCACTTGAAATTCGCGCGCTTTGAAGCGACCGTGGCAGACGGCAGAATACCATTCTACGGAGCATCCATCTCATGCCCGTGGGTACTGTATCTCTGAAATGATAGCGCAAACGACTGTAAAAACTTTTTTTTAATTTGAGTTATTATATTTTTTTTCTGCCTTGTCGTTTACGCCAACATTTAGGAACACTGAACCGTGGCTCCACCTCGGGAGCGCTCGACGCACTCAAAGGAAACGATGGCAGAGCTACGGAATGCCGTCTAGCCGGGCAAATCGGGTTGGCGCGCGAGAGTGGCCGGTGATGCGCGCACGCGCGCCCGGACGGAAACAGTTTGCGAGCTCGTCGACCCGCGCGAGGCAGCTGCGGCAGCGAGAGCCACGGCTGCGACTCCCGGGCGGCCGTTGAGCAGACCGAGCGAGGGGTGCTTTATTGCACAAAGCGCTGCCGCAGCAGCAGCAGCGCAGATAGCGCTCGCACAATCGCACGGACGAGGCGCTATGTGCCTATTTGCGGTGGCGCAGTCAACCGCGTTTCGCGGGTTATACCCATCATGCGTTCGCTGGCCATGGGACCTACGGGCGAGTGAGGAGGCGTGTCGCCTCGTGTACCAACGGTGGTGAGGTGTTCCCTTTGCCCCCGATCCTCCTCTATCAACGCTAACCTCCTCTCCCCGACGCCAGCACACCTAGCTGTTACGTACTCCTCCGAGCACGAGATAGGAACCGCCGCATCCAAGGGGCTAGTTGCGCTACCGGTGAAAGCAGTTAGCGTCTCTGACGTGCTTTCGCGCAAACCTGAGTTTTCCCGCTTAACCGATTCGCCAGTTTCGAGAGAATCTCGTCGCTTTCTCGAGGCCATCGTATCGTTGCTTCTTCGGCAATAAGTCCTGAAATAGCCACAGACCTGCGTTTTGTGGATAGCCATACCCGTCGGGCTCGAAAATGAGCCCACCACGGCTAATATCATCGCACAAAGTTGCGTCTTCTCGCCTTGTCGACAGCGCCTTTCGCCTTCTACTGGTGTCCGCACTCGTCCTCTGCGGGTCCCACGCGGCCTCTGTGGCGAGCCCGGGTCGACCCCGCGTGGTCCTCATCCTGGTGGATGGCGTGCGTTGGGACTACCTGTCCGAATCGGACCTGCCGGGCTTCGGCGAACTCGCCAAGACGGGAGTGAAGGCCGAGTACGTGGTGCCCATCATGCCGGCCAACTCGTACCCCAATTGGTACAGCATCGTCACGGGTGAGCTGTGTTTTTGTCTGCACCGTCCGTTGATGCCACTTCAGCGCAAACTTCAGGGACGAGGGTCGAAACTGTACGACACACAAGCTCTATATACTTCTAACAGAATTTTAAGGTTGAAGCGCATTTCAAATGACGTCTTTAATCTTCCTTCTAAACTCACTGTTATCACTGTACGGTTTCGTGATTTGTGGAGGTGAAGTGGAGCAGGCGCGTGGTTATCATATTAGATGTGCGTCTCAACAATAAAACTTCAAGTTCATTCGAAGGTTAGCGCATGTGTTTGTCGTGTTCTCACGTCCATCGTCCCTGAAGTTTGCGCTGAATAGAATCAATGGATTATCATCCAGCCCAAACGTGCACTTTTTATAAATACTGCCTTTTTTGAAAGACCGCCTGTTATGGCATGCAAAGTATACCTAACTTGTTTTGTTTACAAATATGAAACTGATTGCTTGGCAGGTACGGTCAGTTAGGAAAAAGGCAAACGCAAGACGTCGGTGGTTCACCAATGCTTTTTCAGTTATATATGCGTTTGGATGCTTCCGATGTATTTTAGTGTCTGAGCACACGACTCGTTTTTTCTTTAATTTTCAAAATGTAAGTATCAAGTGTATACATAACTATCTGTGCACGCTTTTAGCGAATGCATTGCAAACGAAATATTGTTTTCTTTCAATATTTGGACTCACTTTGCCTGTCTAGCTCTCAAAGCTACAGTGTTGATGTCTTCGACCATGACATGAATGAGTTGCCGGTTGCTTCAAGCTGTTGAATTGATAAAGAGCTAGTAAAACCCGGTGGCCTTCTCGATGGCCTCTTGAAACTTTAGCTGCATGGTTCACCATTGTGATATTTGAAAACTTTATTCTCATTTAACTATTTGTCGGGCCTACTTCGAAGAAACGATCTTCCGTTTTTGTCCAAGGACACGTCCTTCTTGTCACAACCAGCAATCACCTCAATAGGACCACCACTCCAGTTACCCCCCCCCCCCCTCCCCGCAGCAAGTGTACAACGACATATCCCAACAAGTATGAGCCTCATCATGTTGAAAAGTATTTCCATTGTATAAAAAAACAGGCCTAAAACTGAACGTTGGATGAGAGCCAGTTCAGAGCGATTTCTCGATAACCACTTGGGTATGGAACAGCCACAGCCACAAGGATTGCATGAACCTTATTAGTGTGACGCTCGGATTCTCCTTAAGAGGACTATAATGGCTAATGACAGCTTCGCGAAATTGGGAAGTAGCCTTGCCTGTCATTGTGGGCAATACCAGGCTTCATCGGAATGTAGCATATTACGCCTGTTGTCTGCACTAGCAACAGCTTATCTGATTACACACTGTGGTTGAAAGCCGCGCGATACACTTAAGTAGCACCTCTCTAGTATATCGAGTGGCGTTGTCTTATCTTTCGCAGCCTATGCCTGTAGCAGCAGACTGCACACGCACCGTACAAAGACGTTTCCTCAAACACTGATCCTCAGACATAAGCTAAGGTCCGTTTTTTTTTTCACCCGCTTTCTGCTTTTTCTAGCCTTGCGAAGGCCATGTCCTTGCAATTGGGTGGTTACAATAAGAAAGAAAACACACTTTTCGTGAATGGCCTTTGGAGATGTTGCACCGAAGCTTCTATAAAGTGAAACTCCGCGGGAACGAACTTCAAGAAACAAAAGGAAATGTTCGTTAAAAGGAAAGTTCGCTGAACTGAAATAGCGGCGTTAGCAACTTATTCATCATTATCATCAGCCTGCCTGCACCCACTGCAGGGCAAAGGCCTCACCCATGATCTGCCAATCAGTTTGGTCTCGTGAACTAAGCGTAGCTGAACAGCAAAGGATTTTTTTCCGATGCGGCCACGACTGCTTGTAGCTGGTGCTGAATTGTCGGCAGTGTTGACGCAAGGATCTGAAATGTTATATATATATATATATATATATATATATATATATATATATATATATATATATATATATATATATATATATATATATATATATATATATATATTATCTTGAGAAAGGTATCACCCGTTTGGCACTCATGATAACGAGCACGTGATCGCGGGGCTAAGGCTGCAGCTACCACGGCGATCGTGGCTCCTTTCGGTTACGAAAATCCAGCTCAAATCCGGAATGGTACGACTGTTTGTCACGTGGTATGAAGCACCGTTATCAGCGCAAAACAATGACCTCTGCGGGAGCGGCAGTGGCGCGCCACTGGCTGAACTTAGTTGTGCTTGTGATGAATATGACATAGTAGGCATTGAATGGTGTCGCAAAATGTGTTCGTAGAACTTAAATGTGCCATGCACTATTTTGCTAAACTGAAATGCATTGATAACGGGTCAATTCGTGCTTCGGTAGGAGATCTGAAAAAAAAAAAAATGTTAGTACATCTGTATAGTTTATTTTATTAACATTACTTGAAAGGGTATCATACTGTATTTCTAGTTTGAAACTTCAAATGAGAGCAAACAACTCCTTCCATTGGCTGCGAGAGGCGCCATGGTGGCTGCCCCCTTATTTTACGCTTTACAGGAAAAACAAAATATAGCTCGAAACAGTCAGATAAGCAGGAGGCACCAGACATAATCAATAAGTCGTTTGCTGGTGTATTTATGACGACTCGCTGTTCTTCCTGGCCATGTTCTGCTGTGACGCCCCCCCCCCCCCTTTTTTTTTTGTTTTGCAAAGTTTGTAATGTGAAGTACCGTTCTGACGTATCATGGAAGTGTTGACTTCACATGCACGCCTGGCGCACTCGGTTTTCATATCCTCTAGATCGGGACTTTAAATTTTGGCAACATCACAAATTACGTGCGTATTTTGAGATTTCTAAATATATGAGTAAACCATGAATTGTCACTTCAAAATACTCTTCAATGTAAAGAACAGGCTTCAAGTTGAGTCTCGTCGCGGTGGTCCATAGTGGCTAAGGTACTCGGCTGCTGACCCGCAGGTCGCGGGATCGAATCCCGGCTGCGGCGACTGCATTTTCAATGGAGGCGGAAATGTTGTAGGCCCGTGTGCTCCGATTTGGGTGCACGTAAAGAACCCCAGGTGGTCGAAATTTCCGGAGCCCTTCACTACGGCGTCTCTCATAAGCATATGGTGGTTTTGGGACGTTAAACCCCACATATCAATCAATCAATTAGACATCGAGTTGAAAACTAAAAAATTAATAAGAGAGTTTTATTATTATTTACTCATTTTATTAGAACTTTGAGTGCCGTAAAGTATTTCGTCGTTCGCTTAGAGTTCGCAGGCGAAAATGACAGGTCCGTTACTGTCATGACATTTCTATAAAAAAATGTATTGTTGGAAAAAATTATATTTACATCCAGGAATAGCCTGAAAAGTCACTATTCACGTGTGGTTGCCCCCCGCTTGAATAACGAAATGACTGTTGTCGAGTAGCGTGTTGTTTAAGTATACAGACTGGACTCATGCCAAAACTGACAACGGCTGAAAGTGTCAACTCGTGGCCCCTGTTTCTGCAGTCGGTGAAAACGCTGATTTCAGCAGCTTGCTGAAATCAAGTGCGCTTACTGACTACATAAAGCTGCGTTACCACGTATGTAAAACGAAATTAACCTTTTTTTTATATTTTCGGCTCGAATCCACTATATGCCCGAACCGCGCGTGTATACGTCGGCAGCGCTGATATACCTATGCAAACAGGTACTGCTAACTGCAGCGCGCAATTCATTTCCCGCTTTGTGTGATTGCGGCTGTGTTTTACCCAAGTTGATTGCACCTCTTGGTGGCAAGAGCCGTCGAGGTTCTCTTTCCCGCTTCACTCTGCACGACGCGTGGCGTGAGCTTCGCGGGCGTCAGCGACAACCAAGTAAAAAAGAGCACACGTGGGATGTGGCGCCTAACCTGTTTGCAGAAGACGGTCGTGACGCTCGTATACTCCTTGACATTTTCATTTCGTTTTTCATTTTATTGAGGTTGTTATGATTGCATTTCATGAAATGCACAACACTGATTAGACCCATCCCCATAGGCTAGTAGTGGGTCTAACGGGAGAAAGTATACAAGTTGAATACAATTTGTATAAAAAAATCAGAACATCGAAAAAAACTTTGATTTTTCAAGAAAACGAACAAAAATACAAGAAGACATCATTGGGATTTCAGGTGACGTAAATGCTTGAGAGAGCGTACAAAAATGTACATAGAACACATTGTTGCACTTTGTTCATAAATACTGAAATAAACAAGTACAAACAAAACATCGAACTATGTGTAAGGCATGGTGTCAGATATATGGTGTAAGGTTTAGTATATGGTCAATACTATTGTTATACATGTTGCAAATATTTTTTGAGTGCGCTCGAAAAAGCCCTAGAATCTTTATTCTGAAGTGCAGTCGCGTTTACATCGGTGTAGGCTCATCATCGTGCTATTTTTTTTTTGTACGAATACACACAAAAAAGGAGGCAGCAGTGGGAATGTTGAGTTACCCGCCATGGTGGTCTGTAGTCGCTAAGACACTCGGCTGCTGACCCGCAGGTCGAGGGATTGAACCCCAGCTGCCACTACTGCATTTTCGATGGAGGCGAGAATGCTTCAGGCCTGTGTGCTTAAATTTAGGTACACGGTAAATAACTTCAGGTGGTCAAAATTTCCGGAGCCCTTCTCTACGCTGTCTCTCGTATTCATATGATTGTTTTCGGATGTTAAACAACAACAATTAATAATTAGAAATGTCGAGTTTATAACCCAAGGCGTTGCGATGCGATTTGGCAGATAAACTAGAGAACATTATGCATATGGCTTTCTCATTGTATTGTTCATCGTACTCCAAATTGTCTTTCTTTATTGGAAGAACACAGACCTTCAATGGCACGCTTTGTCACATGAGTAGGGCCAGCTGCTTGTATTCACGTAGTCGAGTATTTTGAGCTATAACTCGTCTACCAATTGGGTTTATCGCCCAGGAACTCAACAACGGGTTATGAGGGGTGCTATAACGGAGTGCAGTTAATG